CTCCCAACAAGATAGGATCCAAAAGCATGCGAGTTCGGAAGCAGGCAAGTGTTGCATGAAACCAAACGTCATTAGTTCATCTTCATTGCAAGCTGGGCAATGGAATAGTGGCTAAACGAGTCTCAGAAAATCCATGTATTTGTGAACAAAGTCAATTAGAAGTGGTTGATCTTGTTGTCACAACATGTTATTGTTGTCAGGGGGACTATGTAGAACACACCTAGTTCGAAGTCGTCTGCCATAGTAATTGTCAGGATTCCAGGCATCTGACAGTGGACTTGATACATTCTCAAACCCACTTGTATAAATCGAAAGGAGACTGCGACCATAACAGAGGCCACAACATCTTGGTCTTCAGATATTCAAAGTCAATTAGAATTATTCACCAAATAATGACGTTAAATTTATCAAAGGTGATGGTAAGAGCGAGGTGATGTACTTGGCTGAATGGTATTTTGGGCAACGTTAGTTAAGTCTCGACAGCTTGGCTTTTCTTACTTCTCTTGCTTGTTCTGGTCCATGATATTATCTCTACGTCATAGTTAGCTTGAATTGTCTGTAGTAATGCTACTTTGCTCTAAGGTTGTCTGTTCCATGGCAGTCGAAAGCCCTGCCTTTTTTCTCCTGAATCAAAGGAAACTGTCTTGGAGATAGTGTAAACCTAAAAATGCAAGTAAAGCCTAGTGACAGATAGTCCAGAGGTATCGGCTTAGCTCTTCTAGTGTAACCGACATTTGAATCTCTTCATCACACTTACTAAAAATGGAAGTAAGCTCAACGCTAGTAAACTAGGTCATTCCTCCATTCCCATTTTTCGAAGAGTTCAAAAGAGAGTATACCATAACTAACCAGAACATCTTCAACTTAAGTTTGTCGCTCAATCGATTTTTATGAAATCATTGAGTTTGTCTGCAGTTAGTGTTTAGAGGAAGCCTATTATCTACCGGAAATTTTATGATGTTCATTAAAGCTCATAGCAACATCTGCCTTATGAAAATATCGATGAGCTTATTTCTTAGTTTTGCCTATACCTGAATAACTCAGTTGAAAGTGAGCACGGCTTTGCTATCAATCGTCCTTTAAATCTTAATATTAAAAACTTTAATTTTTATTTTGAACATTGAAAGTGGAACCTTCCTTGGCTGCGATCGATGCCGATTATATTCGTCTAATTAATTAAGCCTACCTCGGTGACATGATCCATCTTGGAACATTTCTAACATTATTAAGTTGTCATAGTACCTGCAATTATCTATTAAGTGTGTCGTAAGGGTAATCATAGTCACCGTTCTCTGCAAATCGTTTAAGTATTCGCATTTGATATTCTGCCCTAAATCATTTAGCATTAGAAACCCACTTTGAAATTTCTACACTACATTAGTCCTCTCATTTTGCCTAAAGTTTTGTTTGCTCTTCGATTTTTGACAAGGTGAAGAAACAATGCCTAAGTTGTATTAAAGCTGTGATATGAAGAAAAACCGAATTTCGAAGAATACCTTATTAGAATGAGACTGGCCCATACCATTCAATTCGTTTGAAAGGGAAGGTGGAAGGGATTCATAAATTGGCATCCCCGAATACCGAAGGAGGGTTGCCTTGGACTTGCGACTTTTGGATTTTGCAAAGAAGACCTTGGTTCATTGTCCTTCGGCCCTGATAATCCGTGCTGAGCTTTCATCTGTCATGTGGCAGGTATTGGCAAAGACAGTAACCGTCGATTACGAACAATCACCAAAAAGCACTAAAACCAAGACAGGTTTTTTTTATAATTATTCGTAAGTAATTGTTTATGGCTCTGATAATGTCTGTCACATGACGGATGCCGATTGAACGACAAACTTAAGAGGAGGATGTTCTGGTTAGTTATGATATAATCTCTCGTGAACTTTTTAAAAAATGGGAATGGAGGAATGGCCTAGTTTACTAGCGTTGAGCTTACTTTCCTTTTGAGTAAAAGTGTGTGATAAAGAGATTCAAATGTCGGTTACATCAGAAGAGGGAGCCGATTCCTCTGGACTATCTGTCATCAGGCTTTACATGCATCTTTAGGTTTACGCTATCTCAAAGACAGTTTCCTTCGATTCAGGAGAAAAGAGACAGGGCTTTCGACTGCCACAGAACAGACAATCTCAGAGGAAAGTAGCATTACTACAGCCAATTCAAGCTAACTATGACGTAGAGATAGTATCATGGACCAGCCTTCAAGCTAGGAAATCTTTGATCAGTGCTCTAAAAACTATTAATGGATGTGCCAACGATGAGTGAAAGGGAGGGAATTTCGACTTTTCCTCGGGGATGGACTGTAGAATCGACTAAGAATGAGTTTAGTCAACACGTCCTACGGGACCGAGCCCATGACTTTCCTAGCTCTGTTAATATACAAAACAAGCAAGAGAACTAAGAAAAGCCAGGCTGTCGAGACTTAACTAACGTTGCCCAAAATACCATTCGGCCAAGTACATCACCTCGCTCTTATCATCACCTTTGATAGATTCAACGTCATTATTTAGTGAATAATTCTAATTGACTTTGAATATATGAAGACCAAGATGTTGTGGCCTCTGTTATGGTCGCAGTCTCCTTTCTATTTATACAAGTGGGTTTGAGAATGTATCAAGTCGACTGTCAGATGCTGGGAATCATGACAATTACTATGGCAGACGACTTCGGACTAGGTGTGTTCTACATAGTCGCCTTGACAACAAGACCAAGCTGTGACAACAAGGTCAACCCCTTATAATTGAGTTTGTTCACAAATACATGGATTTTCTGAGACTCGTTTGGCTACTATTCCATTACCTACCTTGCAATGAAGATGAACTAGGGACGTTTGGTTTCATGCAACACTTGCCTGCTTCCGAACTCGCATGCTTTTGGATCCTATCTTGTTGGGAGCGCTGTTCGAGCCCAACTGAGGTTGAATATGCGAAATATTCTAGACAATATTCTGTGTATGGAAAAGATGACTTCCGTATTTTCATATATCGTGGCTAATTGAACGAACGAGTCATGCCACAAAATACAAATCGACTCGTCTTTCCTCTTCTTGCTTTTAGTTATCGTAGACTTGGAAATTAACCGTTGGTTTTGTCATGGATGCATATATCCACCGAGCCGCCCCTCCAGCCTCAGTGGGCTCCACTTAATCAGAATATCCATAAATAGGGTAGAAACAAACACCAGAATCTGGGTATCAATGAATTTGTGGCTGCTAATCTGCTCCAGACCCAGGAACGGGCTGAATAGCTACTTTCGAGGCTTGGAAAGATTTTGACTGTCATGCTGACTAAAGGTAAACAATTGCACTGATTATGAAGTCAGATTAGTTGCTAGCCTGATTTAAAGGTTCGCCTGCATAAAGAACACCCCGCTTCCACGTAAGCAAAAGTGAGTAGGAGTGTGTAAGTCTTTCTGTTCCTAACATGCAGAGCAGGCATCCAAAACATGAGGAGGGCTTTGTCCTTTGTAACAGCTAAATGGATGTGTGGGTTTCACTTTTTTTCTTTAAGCACCTTCAATGTAAACATAAAAGACCTGCGCGTGCTGAAACCCAGTGCATTTACGCGTAGTTTTATGCTACTGTCTTAAATGGTTCTCTGTATCATTTCTAACAGTTTGTTTGCCAGTAACAAGAAGAATGACACCTCGTGAAAGTCATTTGACCGAACGAAACGCCATGGCTGCCAAGCAGCGTATTCGCCCCCGTTTTTATCTACCCCAAGCTGTCTCATCTCTTCCTCAAAGACAGGTCCCACATTACCCTCGTCTCCGGCAGTTTTATTTCCCTGACTGTCTGGTCCAGTCTTACGGCATTCAGTATCAGCACTGCGCTCTTGACCCCTTCCCCTTAAGCTCCTCCTTCCCCGACGCATGACGACCTGGGCCCAGTCATTTCAGCGGGAAACGATAACCGAGATAGCAACTGCACAAATCCAGAAGAGCTCAGACAGGCAGTGTGTGCAGGCCTGTCAATCAAACCGTTCGTGTACAGTAGGTCTTACGAACTATTTCCCAACACTCAGCTATTTTACCGCTCCCAAAACGAAGGGTACAACGGAGTCTCCGTTTATGGAGGTCCGATGTGAAACCGGAGTTATGCCCTACATACAAGCTTTGCTTCAGGCAACACTTGCCATCAGTGCCGTAGTGGCTCAAAAGTGGTGCCTTATTTATCGTGGAATCGACCTGCTTCTGTGTTCGTTAAATATGTAAGACGTAATATTTCATACCTTGCTAATAATGCCTATTTCCAAGAGGGGATTGCATCCAACCGGCCAAATAAACAGGACACTACATAACGGCATCTATTAACACATACAGGGGAGGAGGCTATTCGCTCCTTTCAGGCCCAATCACATGAAGAGGAATACGGTAAAAGATTCGTCTCCGAGACCAAAGTATACTTGCGCTAACTTGGCCAGTGAAGAATGACTCTTAGCAAATAGGGCTGCCAAAGCCTATAAAGTAAAGACGTTGCGAGGGAGAAGCATGCCCCGAATATGAATCCAAGTGAAGGTGTAAGTATTCACTTAAATTAGAATTCCGGGAGTGATAAAAGCAAAAGAAACAACCTATGGCAAGACGTATGCCCAGCTAAGTCACAGGGATTAGTTTAACTGTCGACACGCTAAGCATTTTGACTTCACAAAAATCCAAATCATTTGATAATTTAGGTAAAAGTGCCACAAATACTTAAGATTTAACTAGTACTTCGAAATCAGCCAAAGTACTCTTAATTTGATGGTTAAGAGTCCCAAAAGTATATATTCCGACTCGAGATTTACAATGCAATGGAATAGCTATTTTAGTAACAAAGAAGAATAAAATACCCGTATTGGTAAGATTTTTGCATTCATTTTGTAGAATATAAGCGAAAGCGGTGTAGAATAGGAGAATCGCTAGTGATGGGTAGTTTGATAGATCATCACCCTACTAACATCCTAGGGTCCAATTAGATTGTATAGATTGTGGCCTTAGGTTTGGTTGGAGTCCTCTTGGCCTGTATTGAGCTGCTATGATCCCGCCCTCGCAACTTGGTCGGGGCGACAGAGACCTCGTGGAACTTATCCAGTCTTGTGTCCTCTGCCTTAATAGCCACGAGGATTTCTAGTTTCGGACCATTCGCTTGGCATCGCCAGCGAGGGGCGCCCCACTTTTGACTCAGTCTCCTAGTGCTGCATCCTTTTCTCTCAACCCCCCTTCGTATAGTCAAGTTGCCTCCGTAGAAATCATAGTTTCTCCTATTTGTTCCATCCCCTGACAACTGTGTGGCCTTTCTAGTAGGTTTTGTGAGGCGTAGTCACATCATCCGCAGGTTTCACATCCTCCGCAGGTTTCACATTTTCTCTGGGGGCCTCTTGGGCATAACTGGTTTTAACTAAGTCACCTATCCAAATTTGTCAGCTGTTCCCTCGTGTCCTATCTATCTGAAGTTTGATAATAAACATATGTATGCCTTATACAGTGATCCTCAGTTATAGATACCAATAATGGGCCTCTTGATACTGGAAGTAGAGGTCACGTTTGTCTTCAATAGTTCTGAATGAAGTTGTAGTGTCCAATGCCTCTTGAATCCCACTTATCATGTCCTAGTGGATAGATCTAGGCAAAGTTAAAAGTTTGGTAGACCTCAGCACGAGAGGGCACTTCTGACGCGAGGAGCAAAGTTAACTTTATAAGTCTATTCTATTCTTTCTAGTTTAACTATCAATACGTCACCTGAAAGCGTCTAATGAACGGCTCTTCTGCATGCAAAATTTCCTGTTATATGGACATTTGTTAAGAGTAGATGTTACCCCAAACGATAAGACTAAAGTAAGTCTCGTTAAATCCGTTCAAAGGGGCACACCTGAACAAGGTTTAAATAATCAAGTCTGCAATTATTATGCTGAGGTGTCTCGAAAATACATGATAGCTGAGGTTGCCAGGACAAGAGAGGTACTACAGCTCTTCAGCATTCGCCTGTTTGACGAGTTGTAATATAGCGCCAAGAGTGGCTAGGCTGAGTGACGGTGCAGGCGAAACGTCTGGGAATGCCCCGAGTCCACGGTGCGACGCTGGAACTTATCCTGGATACTGTGGAACCCGCATAAGATGAGTCTTCTTGACCTAGTGTTAACGTGAGACTTCCACAAGAATCAGTTCCAGTTCTGATGATGTTCATCATATGATGGAAGAAAGCTCAGCCCGTTTTCACACGAAACGAGAGAGTTCTCGTGGACTGCGTCATTCTGAACGTCGTGATAAAGCCATACGGCTACAGTACAGCAGGAATCAGCCGTCCTCAGCTGGTGAGTTCGACCTTTGAATCTCTTCCTCATGCACTTCCATGCGAAATGAAAGTCCCCCCAACAATAAAATGAGTTCCTCTAGGTCGCCTTGACAGCAGGAGCAAGCTGCAAAAACAAAGTCAAGCCACTACTATACAAGGAAAAGAGATCGCGACCATACTAAAGCTTACACCATCTTGGCCTTTATATCTTGAATTAAACTATGGAAGTAATATTGCCAAACAATGCACCGATTAAAACCCAAAAAATAAGACAATCGTAAGTCAATACTGCCATTCGACTATTTTAATTGTTGCAGACGATATGGAATCGCTCATAGATTGTGCGACCTAATAAAGAGGTTATTGAAATACTTTACCACACCTCCATTCAAAAGTTGGAGTAAACTTAAGAAATTGAGAGACGTAGATTAATTAAGTTCATAGATATTCGGTTTATACCCTGGAAAGATTTTCACTGCGGAGGGTTTTGAAAAACTCCAGACTATGACTGACCAGAAGTCACAAAAGGTTCGGGATTCGGTAACTAGGAGGCATTACAATAAATTGTTTGGATGTGATGAAAAGAGTGCAGGATTCATCCCACCCCACTAACGCATGATGTTTCTGTATTTACAGCACGCACTTCCATAAACGACGATGGATCTACTGAAAAAGGGATGCAAATTTTGTCTAGGTAACAAAGCGCTGTGAAAAATATTCTTGTGGAGGTTGGTGGCATCTCGAAGAAATATGCCAAAAAATTCAAACTGAAGATGCAAAAGGAAAAAAGCCAGAAAATCCCAGAGCGTCAAGAGCCAATAAGCAGGAGCGGATTGACGAAGATAGGTATAAAATCACAAAGGAATGATCAAATAGGGAACGATGGTGGTAATGGACATGAAGCAATTCATTGAGAAAATGGAAAGTACCCTGTGTTAAAAGAATACTCATCAAATATTAACAAAAGATCTAATCATA